AAATTAATACATTTATTTTTTACATCATATTGACAGTATACTCAAGTAAATTGAAAAGCTCTAATTAGGAATTCTGAAAAGAATCCAATGTTTGATTTTTTGAAAGTGTTTAAAATTGCACATCAGTTGTATCTTAGAAGTCAGCTTGACTAAATTAATTGAAAATGCATTTAAAAGACAACTTGAAGTCAACTGCTTGTATTCCTAAAATTGTCAGATGTAACAATTTTTTAAAGCAAAGTCTAAAGTCTTGTGTTAAAGTTAAATTACATGTAATTTGAAACATTTTATTTATCTAAATTCTTAAATATTTGTGATGATTGGTCTTTAAAAAAGCTACAAAAAGTACAAGAAATGCTGGAAAATGCACCATTTTAGAACTATTTAAAACATTTTTTTCGGGGGGGGGGGGGGGGGGAGCCCCCCCCCCCCCCCAACTCCATTTTTTTAAACAAGGTCTAAAGTCTTGTGTTAAAGTTAAATCAAATTGAAACATTTTCTGGATTCTTACAAATTTGTGATGATTGGTCTTTAAAAAAGCTACAAAAAGTAAAAAAGAATGCTGGAAAATGCACCATTTAGAACCATTTAAAACAAAATTTTCCGATTGCCGATTGGTTCTAGATAGAACTTTCAATCAAGTGTAACATCGGACATAAACGGAAAGGGTTTGCACTTTTTGTTTTTAAACAGTTACCACAACTTATTTCTTTTTTTATTTCACTTAAATACAGATTTAAATGAATAATTCATTAATGACGTTTTATGAAATTATTAAACGCTTGATTGTTGTCAGTTTTATTTTTAGCTCACCTGAGCCAAAGGCTCAAGTGAGCTTTTCTGATCACATTTTGTCCGGCGTCCGTCTGTCTGTCTGTCCGTCTGTCTGTAAACTTTTCACATTTTCGACTTCTTCTCAAGAACCGCTGGGTCAATTTTCAACCAAACTTGCCACAAAGTATCCTTGGGTGAAGGGGATTCAAGTTTGTTCAAATAAACGGCCACACCCTCATGCAAGGGGAGATAATTGAGAATTAGTGAAAATTTGGTGGTATGTTTTAAAAATCTTCTTCTGAAGAACCACTGTGCCAGGAAAGATGAAACTTATGGGGAAACATCCTCAAGTAATGTAGATTTAAGTTTGTTCAAATCATGTCCCCCGGGGGTAGGGCGGGGCCACAATGGCCGACCAAAGTTTTATATAGAAATATATATGAAAATTCTTTAAAAGTCTTCTTCTCAAGAACAGCAAAGCCATAATTGCTCATATTTATATGGAAGCATCCCCAGACAGTGTAGATTCAAGTTTGTTCAAATCATGACCCCCGGGGGTAGGGCGGGGCCACAATGGCCGACCAACGTTTTATATAGAAATATATAGGAAAATTCTTTAAAAATCTTCTTCTCAAGAACAGCAAAGCCATAATTGCTCATATTTATATGGAAGCATCCTCAGGTAGTGTAGATTCAAATTTGTTCAAATCATGACCCCCGGGGGTAGGGCGGGGCCACAATGGCCGACCAAAATTTTATATAGAAATATATAGGAAAATTCTTTAAAAATCTTCTTCTCAAGAACAGCAAAGCCATAATTGCGCATATTTATATGGAAGCATCCCCAGACAGTGTAGATTCAAGTTTGTTCAAATCATGACTCCCGGGGGTAGGGCGGGGCCACAATGGCCGACCAAAGTTTTATATAGAAATATATAGGAAAATTCTTTAAAAATCTTCTTTTCAAGAACAGCAAAGCCATAACTGCTCATATTTATATGGAAGCATCCCCAGGTAGTGTAGATTCAAATTTGTTCAAATCATGACCCCCGGGGGTAGGGCGGGGCCACAATGGCCTACCAAAATTTTATATAGAAATATATAGGAAAATTCTTTAAAAATCTTCTTCTCAAGAACAGCAAAGCCATAATTGCTCATATTTATATGGAAGCATCCCCAGACAGTGTAGATTCAAGTTTGTTCAAATCATGACCCCCGGGGGTAGGGCGGGGCCACAATGGCCGACCAAAGTTTTATATAGAAATATATAGGAAAATTCTTTAAAAATCTTCTTCTCAAGAACAGAAAAGTCATAATTGCTCATATTTATATGGAAGCATCCTCAGGTAGTGTAGATTCAAATTTGTTCAAATCATGACCCCCTGGGATAGGGCGGGGCCACAATGGCCGACCAAAGTTTTATATAGAAATATATGGGAAAATTCTTTAAAAATCTTCTTCTCAAGAACAGCAAAGCCATAATTGCTCATATTTATATGGAAGCATCCCCAGGTAGTGTAGATTCAAGTTTGTTCAAATCATGACCCCCAGGGGTAGGGCGGGGACACAATGGCCGACCAAAATTTTATATAGAAATATATTGGAAAATTCTTTAAAAATCTTCTTCTCGAGAACAGCAAAGCCATAATTGCTCATATTTATATGGAAGCATCCCAGGTAGTGTAGATTCAAGTTTGTTCAAATCATGACCCCCGGGGGTAGGGCGGGGCCAAACTTTTGGATTTAAACTTTTCAGTAGTAAACCAATTTCTACTTTTTCTTAGCCACAATGCTCGAGTGAGCGATGTGGCCCATGGGCCTCTTGTTTTAAAAATTCTGTAACTTAGTTCTGCAAACCGGAACCACAACTCTACTATCGCTTTTGCTATATGTCAAGGTTGTTAACCAAAATGAAAGAAGACTTTATTTAATTTACTATAGTACAGTTCTCTGTTATCCTTGGACTTTCAGTAAGGCGTGAATTTTTGACGCTACGTAATTACTGTCTCTCAAATGGTGACCTAGATTCTCATTGGTTGCTAGCTCATCAATATTCATAATAACATAAACAATTAGAATGGTGTCAGTTCGAGTTTTTTTTAACTCTTGAAGAAACCTATTAAAATCCTGAATAGCAGGTGTAAACTTGAATGGTCAACAGATACTTTCCAATATATAGGTTGAATAGAAGTCAGGCCCGCAGCAAGGTTGTTTAAAATAAAGTGGGAGCTTAAAAATAAGAGAGAGAGAGGGGGGGACCGACTATATAAACGCTCCAAGTCAGGTACTTAATAAAGCATCTATTAAGAGGAAATCTGTAATAGCTACCAACACTGTATGAAATACCTTCAAGGTTTTTGTATCTCAGTAAAAAATTTACGAAATTGAAATATTTTTGACATTTCAAGAGGGCCACCGTCTTGTAAATCTACGTAATGATTTTCAATTTACAGCTTCCTATACACATAAACCCCACCCCAACCCCCATTTTACACTATTTTAACTACAAGAATAGGGTGTTATGGCATGATATTCTCATTTTTCACAACTGATTTGAATTTGGTCAAATAACATAGCACAACAAACTGAAATTTACACATTTTTTAACCAATGAAAATCTAGGTCACCATTTAAGAGACGCTTATTATGAAGCTTAGAGAATGCCACGCCTTACTGAAAGTCCAAGGATAACAAAGAATTGTACTAATTACTATGCGAGTGAAATCTGAATATAGTTAACCGACATCGCATTATACCTAGTGTATTCCTATAAGAGAAAGCCTGAACTCTGATGAAAAGCGTTTCGAAATTTATTTGCAAAATTTTGCATCTATAATTAAGTATAGAGGATCGCAATTTTTTTTTTTAGGGGGGGGGGGGGGAAGTGAAATATTTCTTTTGATTTGATTCCCGATAATAGTTTTAAATAGACTTGGGGAACTTAGATTTCATTGGCTTTAATTTTAAGTAAGTTAGTGTGCGAATAGATGTTGGAGATATAATGAAAAATCAATCTTTATGACGCTATTACAATTTGGAGGTGAATTTCGCCGAGAAAGTGTCCACTGTGTACCAGACCCACAATAAACCGACGACATTAACAAACAACGGCTTCTCCTGCCGAGATCACAATCAAGTTAAACGGACCCTGTTGATTTTTCTTCTGCTTTTCGCACGTGTTATTAACGCAATGTTTAATGTTCTCTTGCACAAGACAAAGACAATGGACAATCAATGAAGATTTATCGTGCATTCTGTGATGTTAACTGTGGTGAAAGATCTAGATATACTTTAGTCTCTGGCGACAATGCACGCTTATATAATTTATAAAAGTCAATTACAACATAGGGCCAGATTTCCGCTTTGATGTCAAAAGAGTTTGTTAATTAGTGTATCTAAGATGAAATTGAGCCTGTGTAAGAAAAGGGAGTCTTAGGGTTGCATTAACAACACAGTAAACACATGCAGAGTATGACTGAGGAAAGACATTACAGACTTCTTATAGGAAATTCTAAATCGAGTTGTGCTCAGTTAATTGATTCAAGAGGGCACGAACTAAATACCTCTGTTACGTCGATACCGAACAAAATTTATCAACCTGGGAAGACGTCCATCTGCTCTCTGCTGTCGTTATTGGTTTTTATGAAAATACTTCATTGCTTCCGCTACGATCATGGCAATGTAATACACGACCTATCGTCCCACAAGGATAAATGATTTACAGTCTAAACTGGTTTTCAAGAAAACTTATTCGAGCCCTCTCCTATCAATGCGCCTTAAAGAAAAAAGTCCTAACTTAAATATAAGGAGCAGTAACTCCAATTAAGTGCTTCACATATGCTATCCGGCAATTTATTCTGCGCCATTGTATCCCGCATCTGAGGTTCAGAAAAGCGCTATATGATTATTCAGCCCCTATCTACCTATTGATTTCTCTGTCAAATCTCGCCTTACGCAAAATCTCTCCAAATCAATGCATCTCCAATATGTAATTGAGTAAATAACGAAATCTTCGACACTTTGCTCCTGCGGTGGCCTCCACTACTTGTGTCGGCCCTTCACTTCCGGACACACTGGTGTCTGTTTCCCGGAATATCACGAGTCTGTTGACACCTGTGGATTGGTAGTCATCGACGCTTGTTACACGCGCGGGTATTGGCTACTTCCCAAGGCATCGGAAATCTGGAGGCTCCTCTTTGCTTCCGATCAAAGTTTCTTCAGAGTGTTTTTTGACGTTCACCTATTTTTACATTGTTGTATGTTGTGCGCTGTCGTGGACTTAAATGGCGATGACTGCTCTTGTAGGTGGGGTAGTGACAGATCAATTGATTCATCGTCCTCCCCCGCCCCTCGGGCAAACCATTCCCACTTCTCAGCTACCCGGTCCACTCTCTTTACCAAACGGAAGTATTCCGGCTCATATACATACAGGAGTCGGACCCGGGTCCGGAATATCTTTTAAGAATCATGACACAGTGAAACTTTTTGTGGGACAAATACCACGCACGCTAGAGGAGAAAGAATTACGGCCTATATTTGAGGAGTTTGGACAAATCTATGAGTTGACAGTGCTTAAGGACCGGTTTACTGGTATGCATAAAGGTATGTGACATTCTAAAACTGGTTATGAAGCCTGTATTTGTTTTTTTTCAAGGTATTTACTTCATATTGCCATTTTTGAAAGTTCTGTGTTATGCAGAATTGAACACTGACAATGCAAGTTATGATTTTTAAATATCACAAAAAACCTTCGTACTTCATGTTAGCTTATTCTTAAGTTTATTCGGCTATAAGAGTCGTTCTTGTCTTTGCTTTTTGAAAGTTATTGTTACGATACAAATGCCAGATCGTAACAGCTTTGTCATCATAATTAGCCGTGAAAAAGAAAGGAGTCTGTATCAAATAAACAAATTGCAGGAATGCGGATCCGTTCTATTGATACAACCTGTCCGGAATGTAAACACTTTATATGCTATGACGGGAAACACGTTCTCTGGTGTAACTTATGCCAGCAGTACACGATTCACTGCCGAATTTGCCCTGCATTTGTTAAAGGTGACAGAAACATATGTTTGTACTACTCGGAGATACAAACAATTTAACGACTTATGACTGAACACAGATCCCCCTCCTTATCCGTACTCCGGATCAAGGCAAGGCATTAAGGCCTTAAAAACTAATTAAAAGAATGAATGGAGAATTGGATTGCGTAAAGCTCTTTAAAGAATCGTCTAAAATAGTTCCTGCTGTAAGATCAATTTATCGGAGAATTGTTGAATTCTGTTCATGTTACAAAAGCTGCATAGGATTCCGAAGAATTCTGAAATTTATTCTGTTTTACAACGGGAAATTCGATAAGCAGAATTCAATCATCGTGCCGTATATCTAAAGTTTTTGAATCAAGTTCCCATCAAAATGGGGAATTTCTAAGTCTTGAATTTCTAGGTCTTGTTAAGTTGACAATAGATGTTTTGACTAAAGCAAATGAACAAATAAACAAAACTAGAATAATATCAACAGTCAGTCAATTAAAGTTGTTTTATTTCTTCTTCTAAAAATAATGAAGGCTTGTATTGAAAATTACCGTTTGAGTTACTCATTGAATATCTACATGTACAATTTCTTATGAAAAATAAATCCGTGAAACAAATAACTGTTCCATTAGTATCCCCCCCCCCGGATGTAAAAGCTTGTTACAATAAAGCATTTCTAAAACTGAATTTTAAAAAGCAATCATTGTTATATTATAAAATAATTTGATTTAAGTTGTAACACGTCATTTGATTGGATAAAAGATTCAGTTCATATAGTTTAACATACCTTGCCTACGTCACATTGAATTACGTTAAAGACGTATTACTTCGATTGACGTTACTTTTTATATGCTCAGTTTAAAGTCATTTTTCAGGGGACATTGTCTTTATTGTCTTCACTGAAATTAAATTATAAGGAATGAAGCTTAATCTTAACCTGTGTTAATTAAGGAATTAATTTAACAAATAGCTACCCATTTTATACGTTATAAACTGGGTTGGGGCAGTTTACGCTTTATAAACCGCGAAGCGGTTTATAAAAAAGCGTAAACTGTTCTAACCCAGTTTATACCGTATAAAATGTGTAGCTATTAATTTCATTGCTTATAATTTAATTTTCATTTATTCGCTGCAAGAAAAAAAGATAATTGTTCTAATAAAATGACTTCAATTTGTACAAAATTTGAATGTAACGTCAGGCGGATTAATACGTTTTTGACGCAAGTCATTGTGACGTATGCAACCCATTTTATACGATATGAAGTAAATTTTTTATCCAATCAAATAAAGCGTTACAGCCAGAATTAAATTATTACGATATAACATAACTTTGGACAGTTTACGCTATTTTTATAAAACGCTTCGCGGTTTCTATAACCAAAGGACCTTTATACAATAGTCAAAGGACATGTACAGGTTATATAAATAGCCAAAATACATTTTTGGTTATAAAAATAGTTTAGGGTTATATAATAACCTAAGTACATGTAAATGTTATGTAATAACCAAAATACATGTAAAATATAATAGCCAAAGTACATGTATAGATTATATAATGGGCAAAGTACACGTATAGGTTAAAAAAAAACCAAAGTACAAGTATAGAATATAAAATAGACAAAGTACAAGTATAGAAGATAAAATAGACAAAGTACACGTAAAACATATAAAGTACTTGTATAGATTATAAAATAGACAAAGTACAAGTAGAGGTTAAAAAAAGACTAATTACAAGTATAGGTTAAATAACAGACAAAGTACATGTATAGGTTATTAAATAGACAAAGTACAAGTATAGGTTATGAAATAGACAATAGGTTATATATTGAATGTAAATAGCCACAAACCATGTTCTTTTGATGGCGATTGTTAGACGTTTTTTTTTAATAGGATAAACTACTGCATAGAGTTTAAATGCATACATGTAGTCTAATGAATGTTTTAACACTTTTGTGATACATACATGTACATATACAGTCATTAACTTTATTTATTTTATACATGTACCTCCCCTTAATCGAAAATATGGGGTGTATAGTTTTGCCCTGTCTGTCCGCTTGTCTATGCTGTCTATTTGTCAAAAAAAATTCAACCCTGTCCATAACTTCAATTGATTGAAGCTATGGCTTTCTATTTCACAAGTGTATTCCTTGTGACAAGACCCTTCTTTTGGTGCCTTTTGAACTTTTACTTGGAGTCTGACCCAATGTAGCAAAACTTTAACCTCGGCAATAACTTTTGAACAGTTCGTTTTCATAATTCACGCTTGTAATCCTTGTGACAAGACCTTACTTTGGATAGCAACAACTTTGACTTTTTGATCTAGAAGACTGTCCGACAATGTACTTTTAAATCTTGGCCATTATTTTTAAACAGGTGGTGCTAGGACTTTCATGAATTTTTAACATTTTAAGCTCACCTGAGCTGAAAGCTCAAGTAAGCTTTTCTGATCACCCATTGTCCGTCGTCCGTCCGTCCGTCTGTAAACTTTTCACATTTTCAACTTCTTCTCAAGAACTACTGGGCCAATTTTAACCAAACTTGGTACAAGGCATCCTTGAGTAAAGGGAATTCAAATTGTTAAAATAAAAGGCCAAGCCCACTTCCAAGGGGGATAATCAAGAAAATACAAAAATAGTGTGGGGTCATTTAAAAATCTTTTCAAGAACAACTGAGCCGGAAAAACTGAAACTTACATGTTTATAGAAGTATCCTAGGATAGTGTAGATTCCAAATTGTAAAAATCATGACCCCAGGGGTAGGGCGGGGCCACAATAGGGTATCTAAGTTTTAAAATGAAATATATAGGAAAACACTTTAAAAATCTTCTCAAGAACCACTAGGCCAAAAAGCTGAAACTTATGTGGAAGCATCCTAGGGTAGTGTAGATTCTGAATTATTAAAACCATAGCTCCCAGGGGTAGAGCGGGACCACAATAGGAAATCCAGTTTTGACATAGAAATATATAGGGAAAAAACTTTTAAAATCTTATTCTCAAGAACCACTCGGCCAGAAAAGTTGAAACTTATGTCGAAGCATTCTGTGGAAGTGTAGAATCAAAATTGTTCGAATCATGACCCTTTTGGAATGGGCATGATCAAGATAGGTATTACAGAGGGGGAATCTGTTAAATAACAGAATGACCAAAGTTACTCAGGTGAGCGATGTGGCCCATGGGCCTCTTGTTTATTTCTTGTGAGAAGGCCTTACTTTCAATAAGCACATATTGGATTTGCTTTTGAGAATGTTTAAGTAACTTTGCTATTACGGGGTGTCAGTATATCTCAAAATATTTCTCAACACGTCCTGGTTTCCTTTTCTTTCATTTTTTCACTTCTCTCTTTTTTTTTTTAATTTTTTTTCCTGTTTCTTTCTTTTTTCTTTTAAATTTGAACTAACAAATGCTTTTCCTAAAGTGTTAAAGTTTGCCTTTTTTGAAGTCAGAACTCATTTACAATGCAAAGGAACAAAAAGAAACGAAACATAATTTGATATATAAAAACAAGCTTGTTTCCTGTATAACTGTCAGAGGATTTAAGGTAGCTCTGTACTTTAAGAATTTTCTGTCAAACTGATAATTTTTCAATTTCAATACCTTGAATAAGTCTTAAACTAACTAAAACACCCATAAAAGGCATATCTTTGCAGGTTAATTTTCATAAAACATGTCTCAGAGCACATACCTCTAAAAACTCAACAGCCAAAATTGAACATAAAAAAGTGTGATATCATATTTCTCTTTGTTATGCACCAAATCACATCAAATTTATGTTAAAACTTATGAAGATCAAAAATATTCATTTGCCAAGAGAATATTTGAAATCTTTACTGCAAAACATTAACAAATTGATGTTGAGTCTGTCCATGTCTTTCAGGAAAAAATCTCAAAATATCTTTATTTTTTATAATTCTCAAAATTCAAACTGTTTAGATGCCATTTTTTCTTTAAAATTATTAAGAATTATATCTAATGTTAACAAAATCACATACTTTATTATGGTTGACCAGGGAATTTTTAACAAAACAGTCTTTTGAAGACGTATACCCCCATTTTTTGAAATATCAATTTTTTTGAAGTATTCATCGCAAAATTTTTAAAAAGTAAAAATTAAATGGATGGTATAGGCTCTAAATCAATAAATATAGATCTCAGGTTAGTTTGCTTAAAAGAAAATTAAAAAGATTTAGGTCCATAAAAGCAAGTAAAAATTTTGTGTCTGTGTTAATTTACTAAATGACGTATAGATCTTATGGACAGAGTGCAAAGTGTTAATTTCCATAAATAATGTATATTAAATGCTTTGTATGCACAATAACACTATAATAAACAAATATTATACTTGCTAAATCATTTTCAATCACCCAAAAAGATTTTATATCAACAGACAAGTGAGAATCAGAATTTTATATTGATGTGTAAAATTAGAACCGGATCCGTAAAAGTGTGGGCCTTCCTTAAATTTATTCTAACATCAGCAAGCTTGGTTTGTTTTAATGGCATGTTCACTGTAAATTTTGTGCTCACTGCACATATACCGTACTTTGCTGTAATTAGCTTTCTCTTAATA